CCCCTGCCGCCGTTTTCCAGGGATTCGGGGTCTCCCGACAGGCCGTGGCGGTAATGCGCGGGGGAAAACACGGTCGTTATTAAATAACTGGAGTACCGGGGCTGCCCTCCGGTGCCTCGCTGGAGGCAGGGGCCGTGCCTAGCGGCTCTCCGTGGGTTACTGAGTAACTCGCGCTCGTCCCTGTGGAGAGCCTGTGACCCAGCGAACTTTCAGGACTGTGAGATTGTGAAACAAACTGTTACTCTTCTCTGGTTAAAAATTAAAAACGTAGCTCGCGGTAACCTCTTATGCTTTGCCTTGGAGCCAGACTGAAAACACAAGCGCTTCAGGGCTCTGTGAGTTCCTGACAAGGCCCTGTGTAAAGCAGTCACAGGACTGTAGGGGTTGGAAGGGACCTCTGTGGGTCATCTAGTCCAACCCCCCTGCTGAATCAGGGTCACCTACAGCAGGCTGCACAGGACCCTGTCCAGGCGGGTCTTGAATATCTCCAGAGAAGGAGACTCCACAACCCCTCTGGGCAGCCTGTTCCAGTGCTCCGTCACCCTCAGAGTGAAGAAGTTCTTCCTCATGTTCAGATGGAACTTCCTGTGTTTCAGTTTGTGCCCATTGCCCCTTGTCCTGTCACTGGGCACCACTGAAGAGAGTCTGGCCCTGTCCTCCTGACACCCACCCTTAAGGTATTTATAGGCATTTATAAGGTCCCCTCTCAGCCTTCTCTTTTTCAGGCTGAACAAGCCCAGCTCCGGCTCTCGTGTAGTGCTGTCTTTTACGATCCAGAAAAGTGAAGGTTAGCTGTGTCATGGAATATATCGTAGCGTGTGGTAGTGCAGCTGATGTGTTCTTGAGCTACTGTGAAGCAGTTTCAGTGCTCTCATTAAATCTTGCATGCATTTGATTGCTATTTATTTGCATAACCACGACGTGGAGAGATGCAATGAATGTATTTAAGAAGACAAACCATGTCAAAATTTGCGTGTTTTGTACTGTAGAGGAGCAAACCTGGTATCGGAAGCAGTGCTTTCATTGACAACTCCATCATCTGATACAGTTAATAGAAAGTAACTATTTGCAAAGCAACTCTTACTGTTTTGTTTCCCCAAAACATTTTGGTCTTGTGTATGAGAAGTGCAAAGCTTCAAGTTTAAGATGCTCATTGATTTGTAAGAGTCCAACTACTTCTTAGTCAGCTCTTCACCGTGATAAACTTACTCACCTTAAAATCCTGTTAAGAGGAGAATAAATGCAGTATTTGAGTTCGTAAAGTTCCTTGGCCTAAAGTGAGTCTTGGGAGACAGGCTCCTTACGTCTCTGTGGAAACTTTCTGGCCTTTTTCTGCCGTCTTCTTCTAGAATGATGCTATGAGCATAATTGTAATAACAATAAAAGTACAGTTTTGTTTTCATTTCAAATATCTGCTGTCTGGGAGATACCTGAAGCCTTTCTTACCAGAGCTAAATATGACTCAAGATTTTTTCTTCTTCTGGAGAAGGCAGATTTTAGTCTGAAACTTTTCAGCTCCAGCCTCAAACTTAGTTTCTGGTTGAATTCCAATGCGGTATGTACGTCGGGCTTCACGACTGCAGGTCTGAAAGCCTTTTCTCCAAAGCAGCAGCGCGTCACAGTAGCGGCTGGAAGCCAAACCAGCATGCCGCTCGCTGGGACAGGCGTGTGGGAGGACAGGCACAGGAGGGCTGGAGCAGTACGAACCTGCAGCTCCGGCTGTGCAAGGCCTGGAAGCGTTCAAATACTGAACTATTTTCGTCAAGGAGAGCAGGCAGCTAGTGCCAGATCAGAGCAACCGCAAATGAAAGCAGATGCTTTCCGTGCCTGGCTGACGGATTGGAGCACTCCCTGACGGGAGTGGAAGCCATCTGCTCCCGGTGGCAAGTATCAGTAAAGTCCTCATGAGAAGTTCTGTGGGAAACTTGGGCCTGCAGTCAGCGCAGCCCAGCACACCTGGCTTGGCACTTGGGATTTTTGTTGATCATGGTGCTATTTTTATGTCAGGGCACTGCCTCAGTGATTTCCCTGCTGCTTAATTCCAGCTTTCTCCATTTGTAGGTGGACTGTGTACTAAATCTTCATTTATCTTACTGTCATTTCTCTGCAAAATTCGGATAGACTTTGGCCTATCAGAAAGGGACACTGGCCAAAACTGAGCTCTTACAGTTATAAACTGAGCTCTGCATTATAAATAAGCAATAGTGAAACTGGAGAGATTTCAATCTTAATTCCTTTTAAGATTAAAAAGATTTGTCAGCTCAGCCAATATGGTATAGAAACGTATGAAGTTTTTTTTAACACTTTGTATAAAAAAATTCAGAAAATTAGCAGGAATTATAATAAATATTATGCCTACATTTCACTTGTGACAGTCTAAAGGTATTTCGAAGTCTTAGTTGCAGGTGTAAATATATATGCTGAACTTGTCCTAGTTTTGCATCTGCTTTTGGATTTTTATTGTGTTTCAGGTTTTGAATGTAGTGCTACTAACTGAAGAAACTTGAAAAAAGGATTTTAAAAGACTGAAGTGCAGTAACTTCTTGGTCTCAGATATCCAGCTTCTTGTGTTGGTTACAGGGGGAAGCATGGTACCGTAGATGCGCTGTCATTTTTCTGTTTAACACCTGTGGGCTGGAATAAAAGTGCCTGTGCAAGTCACACTGCTGTAATACAGTGTGATACAGCCTTGGATACTTCTACCCAGGAGTATCGATTTCAGTTAGGGAGGCCAATCTGATTAGCATTTCCAGTGCTCATTTCAAAATACTGATTTTTACTGAGGTTGCTCTAGTATAATGATTAACGATTAATGTGGTTTCCACTGGTTTCCACTTTGTGAGCTAACAAATATGTCTTCACAACTATGGTACACACAGATAGTCAGAGCAGTTTTGTGTTCCCTCTAATCTGGCTTTCAGTCACAGATTAAAGAAAAAGTAAAGTTGAAGAATGTTGTCTCCTAAGCAATTCCTGAGAGCATAGTGAGTACTGAAGTTTTGTGAAGCTGTCAGTTTAAATATTTATCTGCACTAGATATACAAAGTTTTCTAAGGCAACAATCTTCTCCTCAAAATTTATGGAAATACCTAATGTGACAGTTGAATTACTGTATTTTCCATCTTCTAATTTGTCTCATGAGTCCAGAATTAAACAAGATTTACTTTCAGTTTGATTCAGGGCGGTATTGGGTGTTGGTACTGTTGTCAGTAAGCTTCTTATT